TCAGAAGCCCACTGCAAAAGGATCTGCCTCCTGCGGGTTTGGAGAGGTTCCTTTGCACACCCAGGGACATTCTTCCTGACCTGTGTTGCCACGTTCTCCTTCAGGAGCCCCCAGAGGGGAGGTTTGTGGTCAGGACACATGGCTGGGTTTTCCACACAGCTCTAACCCCCACTTTGCAGGTAATCCCCCCTCACCACTCCTGCTAACCAAGAAGAGTCTTAACACAGCCAAGTGCAGCCTGACAGCTTCCTGGGCAGACAGCACAACTCTATAGCATTAGCTCCCCAGCCACAACTTGGTGAATGAAATCCCAGCACATTCCTCACGTTTACCAGGCTTGACCGGCTCCGCCCCCACCAAACCCAAACCCCTCCTCATCTACATACCACCCCCAGCTGGTCCCCGCCTTCCAGACAGGCTCAGGGGCCCACCTTCAGTTCTCAAACCTACCACTCTTGATCCTGCCTCAGGTCCTTTGCACTAGCTGGTGCATGGCCCCAGAACCTTCCCCCCTTACACACACACACACACACACACACACACACACACATCCATCTTGTCATTGTCCCTAAACCTTGACCTAAATGTCACTTCCTCACGGAGGCCTTCCCTGATTCCCTAGTCACTCTCTGTCACATTCTTTACATCAGAATGTGCAAGGAATACCTGGCATATTTTGTGCATGTGCTTGTTTGCAACTGCCCCATTTGTTAGGTTCCCTGGGAGCAGAAATCAGTGTGTCTGTCTTGTCTGGTTGCCAGATTCCTGTTCCCGAGAACAACAGCTCGCATATTTTGGAATGAGAAGGTGGCACCAAGTGGCTTTCACAAAATGAAAGAGACCAAGACACAAGCCCCTCCCCTAACCCAGAGGGGGTGGGGGTTGGGAGAAACATCCCCCCCCCACAGCCCAAGAATGCAGAGCAGTGGGGGTGATGGTTGTTTACAGACTGGGGATCAAACCCAGGGGCCATCTACCACGGAGCCACAGGTCCCGAGCCCTTTTTATTTTATCTTGAGACAGGGTCTTGCTAAATTTCTGAGGGTCTCTCTAGGTTGCTGAGGCTAGCCTCTGACTTGCGATCCTATTGCCTCAGCCTCCTGAGTCATTGGGATCCCATCCCCACAGGGCCTGGCTGGGAATTGAGATTCTTGAAACAACATCGTATCTTTGTTGCATCTCTATTTCTTTTGCCAGAAGAAAACTCAGCCTCTTGAAAGCTGTCTGCAAAACTGAATGAGGAAAGAAATTAGGGTGGGGGGTGGGGAGAAAAAAAAAAATTAGCTGTGCCCTACAGGGAGAAATACCAATGTGGCTACTACTTTATTCTTTATTATGAAATTTAGGTTCAAAAATGGGTAAGGAAGACGTCAAAATATCCTGAATTCTGTTATTGCCTGACTGGTGGGTTCTCTTCCCTTTCATCCCAGTGGGTGGATGGAGTCACAGAGACATCTTCAAGCCCCGGGGTAGAAAGCTTTGAGCCTTAGTGAGCCAAGAGGGCTGGCCAGGCCCTCAGCCAGGACCCTCCTTCTGGCTCAGAATCTGTGAATGGGGAAAGCAGAGGCCCTGCAGGGAGAGGCAAAGAGCCCAAGGCCACAGTTTAACAAGTTGTCATCTCACAGATCTAAAATGCCATTGAGTGTTAGACGCACCCGGGTTTTTAAGTATGCTTAAAACAGAAAAAAAGATGTCTCCAGTTCAATTAGGATATACGATATGATGTTGATGCTTCGATGTGTCTGATGTCCAAGATACTAAAATGTAGGGGCGTGTCAACAGATGGGCCTTAGGATCAAGGACAAGTTCTTCCTGCTGGGTGCTGGGCTTGGGACTTACCAGCACTGAACTGATGTCCTGAGTCACCTGAGAGCAAAGCTTCCTACCCTGGGTACCACTGTCATTCGGGTTCCTCATCCAAAGTCTCCAGTCTCTTTGGTGGGGCCTCCCCGTGCACTACCGGGTGTTTAGCCGCAGGCCTGGCCTCCACCCAGTAGATGCCTGTGGGTACCTCCCTGCTATAGTGACAGTCAAGAATGTCTTCAGACATTGCCATATGTCTCCAGGAAGACAAAGTCTCCTTGGAGTTGAGATTAGAACTTAGCCAGTCTGGGGCCTGTTGTGAGTAAGCCAAGATTGGGACAAGTTTCCAGTCTGAACTTGAGTACAAAGCCCCTTTCCCCAGAGCACCCGATGGGCCCAAGATTCTGTGGACTTGGCCGCCTTCGAGCCCTGGAGTGGAGAGCAGAAGGGGAAGAGTCACTGTCCAGCCTGGGCCACCTTGGCAATGCATTGCTGAATCTGACTCTCTCCACCATATCACCCTCCTTAGAGGCTCAGTACCAGCTCAGCACTGGGCAGAGAGGGCTCTTGTCTATGGGGGGGTAGGGGTGAGGGGGAATAGGGATTGAACCCAGGGACGTACCACCACTGAGCTACAATCCCAGCCCCTTTTATTTGTTATTGAGACAAGGTCTTGTTAAGTTGATGAGGCTGGCCTTGAATTTGGAATCCTCCTATCTCAGCCTTCAGGGTTGCCGAGATTATGGGTAGAGCCACCACCCTGGCATGAAAGAGCTCTTGATGTGCTTGCTGGGTGAAGGAGGAGGCCTGCAAACCCGGGGTCTCTGGCCAGGGTTCTGAGCCAGCTCCTTCCAACTCTCCTTCAGCTGCCTGTGGATCCTGGAGCAGAGCTGGCTTTGGAGAGGTGATCCCAGGGACTCAGAGGGCAGAGCCTGACCAGCCCCACCAGCCAGGTGTCCACCCTGCCACTCCCACAGGCCAAGCTTCCCTCTGGCCCTAGAGCTGTCCTCAACTACTGCCCGGACCACTCAGGCCAGAAGAAGGGGCTGTGTTTTCTTTCTAGCATTCAGCTGGCCTAGAGCCAGCCAGGAAAGAGGGCCACACCTCCCATCATTCACGCTGGCATTTCTATTGTCAAGAAAGCCCAGAGAACAACAAGGAAAGAGGAGGCAGTGGTTTGGAATTGCCTGTTGTCACACAGCAGCTACAAAGGCTCCGTGGGCCCATTTCTGGGCTCTTGGTCTGAGAATGAACCACTTGCCATCTCCCCTAGGAAACCAGCAACGAATGTCTCATTCTCCTTGTGCACAACAAAGTTCCTTTTAAAAACAGTTACTGTAACTAAAAAAGAAAAAAAATACACATGTGTGTGTGTATGTGTGTGTATCACTTATACACATATATATATATGTACATATTTTAAATTCAATACAGATTTCAAAATTTCAAAAACTGCTGGGCAGAGTGGTGCACATCTGTAATCCCAGCAACTCTGGAGGCTGAGGCAGGAGGATGGCAAGTTTGAGGCCAGACCCAACAATGAGTGAGGGCCTGTCTTAAAAGATGATGATGATGATGATAATAATAATAATAATAATAATAATAATAATAGGGGGCTGAGGATGGAACTCAGTGGTAGAGCACCCCTGGGTTCCATCCCAAACAAAAACAAAAAAAGAAAAAAAAAGAAAAAAGAAAAAATACTTAGCAGAAAATAGTCACTCACCTCTCCAAAGCCTTGCTTGATTCCCTAGAGGTTATGTCTCTATTATTTTAAGTTCTGAGTCTTTCTGCTGGCCAAGACTTTCATGTCCAGGGTTTGCAGGCCTCCTCCTTCACCCAGCAAGCACATCAAGAGCTCTTTCATGCCAGGGTGGTGGCTCTACCCATAATCTCATGGTTTTATTTTTTGGTATGTCAATGGCAGACGGTACCCAGAGACTGCTGCTCTGACAAGGTGAGGCTCTGGACCCCTGGCACCAGAGTGCTCTTATTCAATCCCTCTTCCTTCAGTTACCTGTTTTGCTTCAGGGAAATTGTTTACACCTCTGACTACTTTGTTTGGAGAACTTTTTGAGGACTCTCCCCTCCTCCTCCACAGACAATGAGGATGTCACCACTGCACATTGTGCCCTCCCCTGTCCAGATAGACCCTCTGCCACATGTTCAAGCTGTTAACATTTAAATTTCCAACCATCCTCTGCCACCAGCTAAACTCCTAAAGGTGAAAGCCGTCAAATGTGGGTTTTCTACACCATGTAATATGGAGACGTTGGTGAATTCATTCAATGAGGAAGTCTGGCTCTGCCCAGGGAGACTGGGGAGGAGAGAGAGAGAGAGGTTGAGGGGAGGGGAGAACAAAGCAGAGCTAGGGGTGTGGCTCAGTGGTAGAATGCTTCTCTAGTATGTCTGAGGGCCTGGGTTTCAACTTCAGCATGCACAAAAAAAGTTTTTTTTTTTTAAAGGAAGAGAGACCAAATCCACACTCTCAGTTGGCTCAATGGTGTGGCAAAATCCACAGGGAAAAAACTCTTGAGTTCAGTAAAGCAACACAGTGCTGTGATCCAGAGGAAATGTGTGAGGGCACTAAACAGAGCAGTCAGGGAAGGCTTCCTGGAAGAGGTGACATCTCAAAAAGGCTTAAACCACAAGAAATCAGAAACTCTTCTCCTGGCTGATAGGCCCTGCAACCCTCCTCCTGATATCTCAGAAGTACACTCCACCGATCACAGGCATGTTGACCTTGAAGGCCTCCATTAGATTACCGCTGAAGACAGAGAACTCACATCCTTACAAAGAATCCCATTACCTTTCCAGAATGTTCTGTTTGAGAGCTGCCCTGTACAAATGGGTCTCCTTTTAGTTGCTACTCTTTGATGCCCACCAAAGCCACACACAGGAGTTTTGTCTCCACTTCAGGGATGATCTCTTGATACTTGACTTCACCCAACCATCTCCTCACCCAAAGCCCCCCGAGTGGGCAGGAGCGTGAGGCCACCACAGCTGTCACCGTCACTACCAGGGAGTTACCAAACTGCTGGGCAACAGGCGTTAAGGGAACTGCCCGGCCTGACCCCTCCCCAGGTCTGGGCTATAAGATCCCAAAGCAGGGCTCAGCCTCCAGGACCCAGAGTCTCGGCCCAGGAGGTGGATGTGTGGCCTCTCCCCATTGCCCCGAATGGGTGCGTGGACCGTACCTGTTGGAGGCAGAGAGCTCCTGTGAGGGCCAGGGCTGGCTGGAATCCCAGGAGAACTGCTGGGACGTTCCCAGGTGGTCTCTGGTCAAAGACAAAAAACAAAATCACTTTAAGAATTTCATTGCATAGAACTTGAGTCTCCCAGAGCCACACGAGATGGTTTCCGCCCACACACCTGTCCCTTGTGACAACAGAGCTGCTCTTTGCTGGGGGGCCTTTCTCCAAGTGGATGGGTCAGAGGAGGTAGGCTCCCAGCTGGGATCCCCTAAAACATCCCTAGGAACCTCACCCTACCTGCCCCTCCACTTCTGTCCTCAATGCTCCAAAACCTAGTCCCCGGCCCCCAGCTGCTGACTGGGCATTTCTTCCCAAACGCCCACTGTCACCTGATAACTCCAAAGCATGCAGGAAGGAGCCCTGGTCCTGGATCTGTTGTCAGGAGCCCTCTCCCAGCTGGGGATGGATTTCCAAGGACCTTTCCCGACTCTACGATTCTACCCTTTCTGCCTGGTTTAGAACTGGGGCCACGTATCTCCAGGGCACCTCTCCCTCTTCTGATGAGCCACACAGTCCAATCAGAAAGAGAAGTACTCCTGCAACTCTATTATCAGGACTAACTAGACCTGTTTGGCGGTTGGGAACACAGACTTCTTACAAGTTATCTGGCGATAAGAATAATATTCTCTGGGCTGGATATGGGGACACATTCCTGTAATTCCAGTAATTTGGGAGGTTGAGGTAGGAGGATTGCCGATTCGAGGCCAGCGTGGGTAATTTAGTAAGACCCTCCCTCAAAATCAAAACAGAAAGAACTGAAGGTGTAGCTCAGTGGTAAAGGGCCCCTGGGTTCAACCCCCCAGTACAAAAAACAACCCAGCAAACAAAAATCCCCCAATCCAACTTTCTCACTATATAAATTTGAAAGTTGAGGAAAACACATAGAAAAAAAGTAAGTATTGCTATAATCCCATACCAGAGGTCATTGCTATGGATATTTGGTGTCTACATGTCCTTTCGTTAAGTAAGCATGTGTTCATGTTTAAAATGAGACAAAAGTCATACTGGGCTTTGGCTTCATGCCCCAACTTTTGTGACTACCTTTCCCAAACCCCATAGCACAGGGCTGAGGCTTGAGGGGTAGCAGCCACTCGGTTTGGCCTCCTACCACCAGCATAACCTGGGCCAAGCTCCTTATCCTCTCAGACCCTCAGTTTCCTCCTCTGTTAAATGAGTTCAATGATGTTTCACATCTGAGAGGGTTGTTGATATAATGCCAAATGCCCATATTGAACTTTTCCGTAGTTATTTATGGGTAGATATAATAAGATATAATAAAATATAAAAAAAAATTAAAAAAAAAGAAAAAATTGAAAAAAAAAATTCTATCACCTGGGAATTTGTTTCAAACACTGAAATCAAAACCAAAACCCTTTTGATGGCTTCTCTCCACTGGGATTTAAAAGAACTGAGTTCCTTCTCGGCAGACTGGTGCATGCCTGAAATCCCAGCGGCTCCTCTGGAGGCTGAGGCAGGAGGATCGAGAGTTCAAAGCCAGCCTCAACAACTTAGCAAGGCCCAGAGCAACTCAGAGAGACCCTGTTTCAAAATAAAAAATAAAAAGGGCTGGGAATGTGGTTTAGTGGTTAAAGCACCCCTGGGTTCAATCCCTGGCACCAAAAAATAAAAAAATAAAATAAAATGAAAGCCTTCAAGGACAGGCCATTTACATGCTGGGTGACCTCTAGAATCACCTACGCTCTGTATTCTGTCAGCTGTACAATGGGGATGACAACCGGACATAAAGAGGGTTGCAATGAACGTTAAGTAGGTTGACATGCATCCAGCCCCTAACGTTGGGCACAGGGCCACACAGAAAGAAGCCAGGCTAGAAATGGAAACACGGTGGGACTTCCATGAGCAAACCACTTCCAAAAGAGCAAGATGAGGCTGGCTCAGAGCAGGTGCTAGCATGCTCAAGGCCCTGGGTTCCACTCCCCAGAAAACAAACAAACACCCCAAAAACAACCAGGAAGGAGAGCTTCCCCCACAAAGCAGCCACCTGGGGCAATTGGAAATGATCCAGGTTAGCAAGTACAAGGAGAGAAGCCTTCCAGGCCTCAATGTAGAGGCCAGCTCTCCCGAGGGATGCAGAGCCTCCTCCAGCAGCCTCCTGAACTGTTCAATGCGATACTGTACCAGCAGCTTCTCTAAATACTGCATGTCGAAAAGTCAAGCTCTGTCTTTGTGTCCCTGGTGCTTGGTGGTGGCTTCCGGGTAGTAGGGACACAAGATGGATAAATGGGTGATTGGATGGAAGGAGCAGTCAAGGCAGGCGCCTGCTACAGTCACCAGGTAAAATAGCAGAGTCTGCACATCAGCTGGTCGGTCTTCTTTTTAAAATAAGGTCAGGGACATTAGTCACCAGAGAAAAGACTGGGCTCCATCAGGGGCCATGCAACAGGCTCAGCCTAGCCTGTCCATGTCCTGGCCAGACTTGTCTGGCCCAAGACACAAAAAGACAGCTGAGAGCCTGGAGCCTGGGGGAGTGCAGCCAGACCAGGCCTGGCCAGGCCATCTGGAGAGAGCCACTGGGGCTCTGGCTGGGTGACCTCACTAACATCAGAACCAACCCCATTCAGATGACCATACCACCCACAGGGAGGGAGTGGGAGCCGTTTCCAAGTCTTTTCCAATAAAACACTCCCTGATCTGCTGATGATGCTTGACCAAGCCAAGGGGAGATTGAAGCAGGCTGCCCAGAGTCCAAGGAACCCTGGATGGAGGCCCTTTTGCATCCTCTGGGCTTCCTTCCCCAGGGCCCTAGGTCATCCCAGGTGACCGCCTACACTCCTGCTAACAGTCACTGCCATGAAGGCCTCGGTCCCTGTGGGAAGCATAATGAGGTCAGGGTGGAAAGAATGAGACCCTCTTCCCACCCAACCTGAGCCACACACATTTTTTTCCCTAATGGCAACAACTCTGCATGGACCTTTTCCACTGAAGCCAGCGAAGCCAAGCACACACAAATGTCTGACCACGAGTGAAACCAGCCCCAGAGAGCTGGTCAGTGCTCAGAGTCAGGGATGCTAATCCCACCCCCATCAGTGAATGGGTGCCTGATTTGTGAATGTCTGTAGCTGGGACTTGTAAAGAGAGAGTATCACTGAAAAGTTGAAAGCTAGGTGGATCTGAGCTTCAAAGCACAAACTTTGAAATAATAATGATGGCCAGGCGCAGCGGCTCATGCCTGTAGTCCCAGTGATTTGGGAGGCTGAGGCAGGAGGATCACAAGTTCAAAGACAACCTCAGCAACCTGTCCCCAAAATAAATAAGTAAGGGGCTGGGGTTGTGGCTCAGTGGTAGCACGCTCGCCTAGCATACATGAGGCGCTGGGTTCTAACCTCAGCACCACATAAAAACAAAATAATGTGTCCAACTAAAACTGAAAAAAAAAATACATAAATAAGTAAATATTTTTTTTTTAAATAAATAAATGGATAAGAAAGACTGGGGATGTAGCGCAGTGGTTAAAGTCCCTTTGGGGGTCATTTCCTAGTACTGGAAAGAAGGAAGAGAAGAAAGGGGGGAAGAGAGAGAGGAAGAAAGAAGGAAGGAAAACTTAAACATTTTCAAAACCGTGAGCCATGTAGGAGTTACTAATTTTAAACAGTCACTTTCAGACTTCATTTCCCCTTGTCAAGATTTCCTGAGTTAGGAGCAATGCAGGGTTAAAGTCACAAGGAATCCCTGGACTAGGCCTCTGAAGGTCGCAGGAGGGATCTGCCACAAGCCCATCTTTAAGCCTTGGTGGCCCCTCTGGGTCTCCTGCCTTGGCCTTGGGCCTTGGCCCATTTCCTTGGCCGGGTGCTTACTCTCTGCTGCCCCCAGTGGCCATAGGTGAAATAACCGCAAGCATCAACCCAAAGGAGAAAGTTTGGGGGCCTTTAGCAGTCATTGATATGAGATCCATGAAGTCCTCTCCTCTTTGTTCTGTGACATGACCCAGTGGCCACCTCCAAGCGGGCTTCCTGGACTGGGCCACCACATTCCCTTAGCACCTTCAGTGCCCATGATATGCCCCTTATGGATGTTATCTCTCTCCATCCAGCCAGTCAGGGCTCCAGAGGTGGAGGTTATCTTGGGCTCTGTCCTAATACCCTCCAGAGGGGCAGCAGGAGCTGAGGAAGTGTATGGGCCAGAGTGTTTCAGAGACCATCCATGGGCCTCTGCATCTCTGCATGCGTCCCTGGTGGCACTTCCTCTACCCCCAAGGACGGAGATGCTGCTGGGATCTGTGGGTGTCTTGCTCAGGCAGGGCTGGAGGGAAGAAGGAGCTTAGGCTAGGACATTCCCCAGTCCCCGGCCCGGGAGCCAGCCTCCTCCAGGCTTGCTTCTCACCCTGTGGGCATACAGAAGATTCCTGAAGGGTCCAGTGGCACCAGGAACAACAGCTCCATTAAATCATTACAGAAAGTCTCACTCGGGAAGCCTCCTCCCAATCCACGTCTGGCTTCTACAAAGGTACCCTGACTCTGTTCTCACACAGCTCAGATTCCCTGGCAGGAAAAGACTCTCAGTAAATAGGAAAACACAAACGCTTCTCTCCAACATCTGCCACCTCCAGCAGACTGTAGAGTTCACCACAGCTACTGGGTCCCAGAGTCTGTATCCTGATAGACTCTAAGTCCTGGGGACCTGAGATCTTCAAGGGGGTCAAGCATGGGGTGGTGGGGGAGAAGGGGAGGGGTAAAAGCTAAAACCCTTTCACTTCTCAGGAGTTGGTAGAAGCCCTCACACAGCCTGATACCCAGGAAAACTCCCTTGTGCAATGAGACTCCTCTTGCTCTGAAGAAGAAGAGAATTTGGAGACGGGGGCTTAGTTGTAAGAAATAAAAGAAGTGGAATAAAGACCTGGCTCTGGTGTTTTAAGATACTCCTTAATTATTTTGAGGCAGTCTAAGGTCCTTAGGAATCCAGGGATTGGCTTATAGACAAACGCTTACATCCCAGGTGGAGTCCTTGTAACTGAATGACCACGTTCCTCAGCCTGTTTCCTTGTTGGGAAGTGGGGATGACAATAC